CAAATTTACAGCGAGTTTTACTAAAATATATCGTACCATTCTTCCGATACTTCCAAAAATATTAAATTTTTGAATAATTTTGACTTCCTATAGCAGAGGAGCCAGACATTTTGTGTTAATAAAAGTTAGGTCAGATGAGAGTATCCGTTTGATCATGTACTTACGGGACACCACGTATAGTAAATGTGAATCTATAAAAGCGTTATAGTTTTCTATAGTGTAATCTTTATTTTTATCTAATTGCAGCATAGAAATGTACATAGAAGACAAGATTTCTCATCGGGGGCCATTTTCACTAACAGTAATCCCATCGCAAACGGTAGCAGCGTTGAAACAGCAAGTGTTCAAAAAATTTCAAATTCCAGTAGAAGTTCAAAGATGGATCTTAGGAAACGTGCTTGTTTTGGATGATGACTGCACGTTGGAGGAGTTCAGAATAGCAGCGGGAAGTTCAGTTTTCCTATATTTAGTATCACCAGGTGAGACATATATTTTTCATTTATTTATGTCAGCATTCTAGATTGAGTATGTCAAAATAACTTGTGATAGACTATAGTTCTAATAAATGAGAAAATTAATCGAAATTTGCAAACAAAACGAATCAACTCGACTCGATATTCCTGCAGGACACAACGAGCTAATTTTATATTTTTAAAACGACTAAAGTTACTGTTAGCATTCAGCAACTACACTCCGTTTAAAAGGGGGCCAGCTATGTTGGTTTAACTCGATAATGCGCCGCGAGATAATGCCATCACTTAAAATCTCTTGAAATTTGACAAGTAGAACCCAATGAGCAAGCCGCGACAACCGCACTGCCTGCAACTTCGAGTTTGAGGCAGTTATAAGAAGAGATGAGGTTTGACAATTTATCCTAAAAATGGGTCTCTTAGATTTTTAGTGTTTAATATTTATTGGATATGCATTTGTTCCAATTTGCCACTGAATTGTAGGTTTACAATTTATTCCATTCTATGTATTGTCGCGCCATCTAGCTTTAAACGCGTTGTTTACTTTTGTGAAAATGCTTTGTCGTGTGCGGTGATGTAGAGCCGGAAGTGACAGAACGAGAGACGGCGTAGTACAACAGACATGAGACAATCGTAATTGATCAGTATCGCTTAATATTTTTTCCACTTACAACAATCCTTGTGCAACAAAAGTAGTGGTCCTTCAAGCCTCAACCATTCCATCAAAATGGTCCAAATTCGAGACGGATAGTTCAACAAAACAACGAAAAACAACGGAAATCGAGATCCATCACGTAAAAAGTTGCCGGTCGGATATCAACGCCGAAGGAAAACGGGATTTGTTCGGCCATTAAGACAACGAAAAAGTACGGGCAACTAATCTCAAAACATTTCAACACGTTCTCGGAAACGAAAGCGCCACAAACTCCGCAAACAAGTCAGTTGCGGAATTCAAAATAAATCCACTGATAGCGTAGTTTCTATCACAGCAGACAGCAGTCTACGGGCAAAACAAACAGTGTAAGGGCCTTCCATTTATCCCATTACCGTCTCAACCTGTGAGCTATCAAAATGACTGATGATAGATGAGATTCTCAAGCGCCCCCTCAATTCACATCACACAGCAAATTTGTACTGATTATGTAACAAACATTTACCAAATAATAGTGCATGTAGTTTTACAATGTCCAATACTTTTATGTATAATTTAATATGCTTTACTTTAGAAAGCTCGAGGCTTAGCAAATATATCCATACTGGTTTATCAATTCAAAATATGTTTTATTGCCACAAAAAAATGTGTGGAGAAAGCGAAGAAAAAACAAAATACTACAACACATAAGACATAATGGTAAAAAACAATACAGAACATTGCACATATAATCATAATTTTTTAATTAATTTTGTATTTTTATAAACTCCCATATTTCGCTGACTTTGTTGGCAATGCCACAGCATAAAGATTATACAGCAGTGTTACTCTCCAGAAATTCCAGTTCGCAAGTTCGCGCAGGACACCGTGACTTAATGTTTTTAATAGACATAGCCATTCAAGGCTTTTCGTCCTTACTGCAAGCCTGCAAGAGCCTTGGTGGATTAGGGTATGATAGGATGATAAAAGAATTATAAACGTTATGTTCGAAATATAATAAAGGAATTATTTAAAGGAAATATGAATATATTGTATTATTTATTATTATAAATCCTGTCTGATCGAATATAGTTCTCAGATTCAAATTGTCACCCTGTATATAAAGCGCAAATACTATTCTTATTCAAGTGATTAAAAATATTACCATATGATTCGCGAAAATACGTTTTCTAATTACCCCCAGTACTCGTTTCTGCACTTTAAAACCGCCTTAAACTTTTATTTCTTATTAATAAATTCGTGTCGTCAGCATAACTAATTATGTTTGTTGTATCCAACATATACACGGTGGTCCTGAACGAATGTGACCAAATTCCCTTACATAGAGGGTGATTCAACCTGGACTTGTCTAGAGGTGTTTTACGGGTACAGAAAAATATATAAAACAAATTTAGGCCAGGCGAATTACGACAAATTCTTTCAAATATTGTTCTAACGTGACGTAACTTAGATAACTATTGGAATCGCTCGGGAATGGTATAATTTTGATTCTGGATGTAAAAACTTGGTTTTAAAAAAACATTTATTTTGCCACCCAAAAATAAATTTTTCAACATCGAGCTGTTACTGCCTTAACAACTAGCTTAGGACTAATTTCTGTGACTTGATGTTTTTAACAGACATAGCCATTCAAGGCTTTTCGTTCTTACTGCAAGCCTGCAAGAGCTTTGGTGGGTTAAGGGTGTGGGTTTCGGCAGTTTGTGGAACTAAGGGCGAAGAGAGTAGTATACGAACGAAAGAAAGAATAAAAAATAAGAGAGAGAAAGTAAGACAAAGAACGAGAAGGTTGGTTTGTGGCGTCTGGTTTTTAATTTGAAAGAGTTTGTGACTTTAGGTGTTTTCCAGGTTTGAGATGTCGGGAATCACCTGCTTAAGGCGGGGGTCTGCCATTAGACTTGTCGGGGTTAGGTAGCGTTGGTTCGGGATAGTTTGGGAAAACCTGTCTTTAATTAGTGGGTTTGGGTGGTTAAGAACGCGAGTTTTGAACTTTTCGTGGAGCTTTGAGACGAATTGTTGCACCAGGGGGTCTTGTCATCTTGCGGAGGATTTTGTTTTGGAAAATTTGAAGTTTGCCTATGGTTTTTTTGGAGGTTTGGCTAATGATGGGGGCATCATAGCATATTTGCGACCTGATTACTTGCTTGTAGAGCAGAGTTTTGTTTTTCAGACTGAGCTTACTTTTCTGGTTTAGACGAGGGTAAAGGATGCCGGCTGTTTGGCTTCCTTTGGTGATTATTTTGTTAATGTGCTCGATCAAGTTAAGTTTAGAGTCGATGGTAATGCCAAGATATTTGAGAGATTTAGAAAGTAGGATTTCGGGGTTGTTGAGCATTAGTTTGAGTGTGTTAGTGGGAGCTTTTTGTTTCGAGATTATCATGGCTTTGGTTTTTTCTGAATTAATTTTGATTTTCCAGGTGTCAGCCCACTCTTGAAAAATGTTTAAGTGGCGTTGGAGAGGGCCAATTACGTATTTAAGATTCCGGTTGGCATAATAAAAGCAAATATCGTCGGCAAATAGTGCTAAGTTGGTGGGGGGATTTTTTGGAGCATCAGCGGTGTAGAGATTGTAAAGGATTGGGGAAAGGGGGGAGCCCTGGGGGACTCCCGCTTCAATGTCGCGGATAGAGGAATTGAATTTGTTTAGTAGAGTGAAAAACTTCCTCTTTTGGAGGAAGCTTGCCACCCACTGGACAAAAGTTTTTTTTTTCCGGTGAGGTTTGGGAAATGCTCTTTTATGCACTCCCAGAGCTGGTGGTCTGTCGCTCTGATGTGTGTGGGACTCCAGCTAAGCTGTTTACCCACTAAAACCCTTTCCTCACCGCCGAGGTGGTGTTTGGCCTTGCACCGCGGTCATTTCTGTCCTATTGTGCCCT